AAAACCCTCATTAAAATGTTAAAAAGCAAAGGTATCACTTTGACAACTGAGGTGCACTTGACCTAAGCCATGGCATGTTTAATCACCTCATATGCATACAAAGGCTGGGTAACGAAAAAGGAAGACTGAAGAACAATTAACGCATTTGAATCATGGGGTTGCTGAAGAATATTAAATATACCATGGATTGCCAAAAGAGCAAACCAATCTATGTTGGAAGAACTACAGCCAGCATAACCCTTAGAAACAAGGGTGGAGATACTTCCTGGAGAAGGACCTCAGGCTTGTTAAAGAAGAAGGTCAGCAAAAAAGAGGACAACCCTTAATGAGGTGGATTGACACAGCGGCTGCAACAATGGGCTCAAACAGCAGCAATTGTGAGGATGGCACAGAGCAATGCAGTGTTTCATTCTGTTGTATATACAACCACTATGGGTCATTTAACAACACTTACCAGCAAATACATCTGTAAAGGGGACACACACACACAAAACTATATGACAAAGATCAGAATAAGAAGTGATAAATAAAACTGAATATATTGCCTGTTCTTTCTGCACAGAATTCCCCCATGCTCACCTTTTAGAGCTCAATATACTTTCAGATCTCAAAACAATGCTCTAATTATTTTAAAATAAGTAGACAGCAGTACAGCAATAGCAGAAAAAGATGTTTTCTTCACCCAAACCTTAACTATGATGCACAGTATTTTCATAAAACTTGATAGCTCCATCTTCACTCACAGAAGGCAATATTTAGCCTTATTCAGCCAATTTTTATTATACTTTTATTTAGCACATCTACAAAATAGGCTTTCACTGTTCATATTTGGAGAAAATTGAAGAGAGAATTTGCCTCAGGGTTTCCAGTGATTTAGTGAACTCTTACTTCTTGAATTTCTTGAGGACGCCAACTAAGTTACAGCTCTTAAAAGGTAGCACCTGCTAGAGTTCATCTTGGGGTCTGTTTTTTCTTTATTAAGTATCTGATGTTGTCACAAAGCCAAAGTGAAGACTCTAAGAAGCTTTCTGTTAAATTGTATTCCTCTAGCTTTTAGAAAATAAAATTTTATCAATAAATTATTCCAAAGTATATTTATATTTTCAACCTTTTTGAACATATAAATTAACTGTCATTCTAGATATATATTAGTAAAGGATAGTTGTTGCTCATCAGTATGAGTTTAAGCTGAATTCCTCTTCTAGGCAAGATAGTGCAAAGAGGTTTAGCTCTGGAAAATCTCACTAGTATATGTCTTTACCGTGTGCGTAAGAGGTAAGGACAACAGATGTTCATTTCTTTTCACCTATTGCTAAAGTCTGAGGTGGAAGCTGGGACAGACGCAGGGTAGGCTGGTGGAGAGGTTTTTGAATAATAACTACACAAGGGCTATATAATAACTACATCCTGGACACACTATGGAAAAGCTGAAGTGATGTCACACACAATGGGTGGTGAGTGACCTAAATAGATAGCTTCTGGAAATGACAGAATGTGTAAGTGTGAAGGATATGCTTACATGGGGTATTTATGAAAGAATATTGTCACGATTTATCTTGACTTAGATAAACAAGGAAAAGTCATACTAAATATGTTTTAATTTAGAATGTATTACATGACATAAATGAATTAGAAATACTCCCTGGGCCACAAATTTATATCTATAGCTGTATAAAATTATAGCCTAGGGGCCATTTAGCTTTGTTTCTTATGTAAGATCAACACTAAGAAAGTAATTATTAAACCTCTGATTCCCTTAAGGGAGTCTTAATAATTAAAGAATCAATAAAAAGTTTGGGGGAAGAGGGCCCAATCACTACAAAAAGAGCAAGTCTTGACATTTGGCAGAGGGATATAATCCCTGATACAGGACACACATTCCTTTTGGTGGATGAAGCTCTAAGACTGGGGTGGTTATGTTTGTATGTCAACTTGGCTGGGCCTGGTTGAATGGCTGGGCAGCTGGATGTGGTATTCCTCATGATGAGACTGGTAATCGACTCCATGGTGCAATCTACTGTGAGCAGCTGAGTAGCTGCTCACAGTAGATTCCTTAGGGAATGTGGTCTGCTTCCTGTATATAAGCAGAAGCCTTGGGGAATGGTCTCTAGCTTATGGCATGCTTGGACCCTGCAGGTAGCCATGTCGGTGTTCAGCAGCCTGCCATGCTCTGCCAACCTTAGGACTTACAATGGACTTTAATTAATGGCCTGCTGTGTAATTTGGTAACATTGGGCCTGTGCCATTTTATTTGTTGACCTTGGGCTTGTTAGCCTCAGCAGCCAGTAGCTGCCTGAGTAAAGACATGCCTCCGGCTTCAGTGGGCCGGGAGCAAGAGGCAGAGCTAAAGCCCAAGGTCAAGGGGCTTTCACAGCCCCTATAGCCTGGCACTTTGAACTCAGACTTCTAGCCTCCAAACTGTAAGAGAATAAACTCCTATTTGCTAAGGCCATCCCATTAGTGGCATATTCTTGTCAGAGCGGTACTAGGTATCCAGAACAAAGACCCAAGCCAATTCCACTGACTCCTCCTTTGCTTACCCTACCTACTTTCCCCCTAAATTCAAGTCAGAGGTGGGGTGGGGCAACACATCCATCCATTGCCAGTCACATCCATCCTCAGTGGGATACTGCTCTGTGGCCAGGTTTAAAAGCTGGAAGGTAATAGGCAGTTGTTTTTGCTATCTTCATACATCTGAATGAGGTCACCTAAAAACTCAGTCTTTGATTGCAATTGTAAAGTTTTCTGGGAACCAGTTTGCCACTACAGGATTTAAATGTCCCAGAAGACAATCAAGTTTTGTTACTTGCTGTTTTGTTGGTTCCAACTCATAGCCACCCTGTGTACAACAGAACGTAACACTGCTCAGTCCTGCGTCGTCCTTACAATCATTGCCATGCTTGAGCCCATCATCACAGCCACCGTGTCAGTCCATCTCATTGAGGGTCTTCCTCTTTTTTGCTGACCTGTGCTTTACTCAGCATGATATCCTTCTCCAGGGACTGGTCCTTTTTGACAATATAATGAAAGGATGAGAGACGAAGTCTGGCCATTCTTGCTTCTAAGGAGAATTCCTCTAAGACATATTTTTTTCTGTTCTTCTAGCAGTCGTGGTATATTCAATATTCTTCACTAACATGACAATTCAAATTCTTTAATTCTTTTCCAGTCTTCCTTATTCATTGTCTAGCTCTCACATGCATATGAGGCTAATGAAAATACCATAGCTTGGGTCAGGTTCACCTTAGTGTTCAAAGTGACATCTCTGCTCTTCAATAATTTTAAGAGATCTTTTGCAGCAGATTTGTCAATGCAATACATCATTTGATTTCTTGACTGCTTCTTCCATGAATGTTGATTGTGGATCCAAGTAAAATGAAATCCTTGACAACTTCAATCTTTTCTCCATTTATCATAATGTTTATTGGTCCAGTTGCGAGGATTTTTGTTTTCTTTATGTTGAGGTATAACCAATACTTAAGGCTGTAGTCTTTGATTTTTATCAGTAAGTTCTTTAAGTCTTCTTCACTTTCAGCAATCAAGGTTGTGTCATCTGCATATCACAGGTTGTTAATGAGTCTTCCTCTAATCCTGATGCCAAGTTCTTCTTCACATAGTCCAACTTCTTGGATTATTTGCTCAGCAAGCAGATTGAATAAGTATGGTGAAAGGACACAACCCTGACACACACCTTTCCTAATTTTAAACCACACAGTACCCCCTTTTCTGTTGAAATGTCTGTCTCTTGATCTATGTACAGGGTTCTCATGAGCACAGTTAAGTGTTCTGGAATTCCCATGCTTTGCTGTGTTATCCATCGTTTGTTGTGATACAGAGTTGAATGCCTTTGCATCGTCAATAAACACAAGTAAACAAATATCTTTCTGGTATTTTTTGCTTTCAGTCAAGATCCATCTGATATCAGCAATGATATCCCCCATTCTACTTCTTCTTCTGAATCTGGCTTGTGTTTCTGGTAGTTCTCTGTCCATGCACTGCTGCAACTGTTTTTGAATTATCATCAGCAAAAATTTACTTGCATGTGATATTAATGGTATTGTTCAATAATTTCCGCATTCTGTTGGTTCATCTTTCTTTGGAATAGGCGCAAATATGGATCTCTTCCAGTCAGTTGGCCAAGTAATTATCTTCCAAATTTCTTGGCTTAAATGAGTGAGCCAACTATGCTTCTCTAAATCAACGTCAAACAGGCCAAAGAAAGAGCTAAAGCTTCCTGACATCTGTGGGATGTTGGTCTCCTGTGAGTGACCCATTATGTATATATTATGCTATAAATGCAAGTGCTGAATTAGGTCTTTTCCTGGGTTCATATGTGCCATGGATCATATATTTTAAGTAGTGATGGTAAGCATCTATTGCTGCTGTTGTTTGGTGCCATGAAGTTGATTCTGACTCACAGCATCCTATGTACAACAGAACGAAACCCTGCCCAGTCCTCTACCATCTTCACAATGACTGCTACCTTTGAGCCATTTGTTGCAGCCACTGTGGCAATCCATCTCATTGAGGGTCTTACTCTTATTCTTGAACCTCTGCTTTCTCATGCATGTTGTTCTTCTCCAGGCACTGGTCCCTCCTGATTACAGGTCCAAAGCACACGAGACAAAGTCTCACCACCGTCACTTTAAGGAGTATTCTGGCTCACTTCTTCCAAGAGAGATTTGTTTGTTCTCCTGGCAGGCCATGGTATATTCAATATCCTTCACCAAAACCATTATCCAAATGCATTAATTGTTCTTCAGTCACACTTATTCATTGTCCAGCTTTTGCAAGAGGAGAATGAAAATACCATGGCTTGGGCCAGGTGCACCTTAGTCTTCAAGGTGATATCTTTACTTTTTAACACTAAAAAGGTCTTTTGCAGCAGATTTGCTCAGTGCAATACATCATTTGGTTTCTTAACTGCTGCTTCCTTTGGTGTTGATGGTGGATCTAAGTAAAATGAAATTCTTGATGACTTCAATGTTTTCTCCATTTATCATAATGTTACTAATTGGCCCAGTTGTAAAGACTTTTGTTTTCTTTATGTTGAGGCATAATCCATACTGAAGGCTGTAGTCTTTGATCTTCATCAGTAAGTACTTCAAGTTTTCTTCACTTTCAGCAAATAAGGTTGTATCATCTGCATATCACAGGTTGTTAATGACTCTTCTTCCAATCCTGATGCCATATTCTTCTTCATATAGTCCAATTGATCCAATTATTTGCTTGTATCAGATTATTTGTTGTAAATCCTAACCCCTATGTCTTTGGTTACCATCCCATTTGGGAATGGATTGTCTTTGTTATGTTAATGAGGGGGATTAGTGTAGGATGTGTCTTGCATCAGTCTCTTACAAAGTATTAAAGGAGTAGATTAAGCAAGTAGAGATGGAGGAAGATGGATTCCAAGTCACATGAAGCAGCAGGAAACTGAAGCTGAAGAGAAAAATACCTTCCTCCAGA